TGTTTACAGGGCAGGCACCCCTCTGAGTGTCATGTGGGGGAAGGAGAGACAGGAAGCCTACCCAAGGGAGCTACTGGGCTGCTGGCCAGGAGCCACGTAAGTAAGCACCTCCTAGCTAGAGACTCCCTCCCTATGGCACCTCAGCCCCTTCCATTCCCCAACTCTCTACCCCCCTCCTGCACTCCTGCCCAACATAATCCAAACCCTCTGCACCCCTGCTCCTGCACCCATATGCCCTCCCAGACCCTGTACCTCAAGCCCCTGCCTCAGGTCACAACCCAAACCCCTGCACCTCACCCTGCCCCCCTCCTCCAGGTCACAACCTCCATCCAGATCTTGCACTCCCTCCTGTACCCCTCCTCAAGATAAGAATCCTTTTTCTGTACCTCTACCCCATCCCAGACCCTGCCCCCCAATCCCCTGCCCCAAGTCATCAACCTCCTCCCAAGCCCTGCACCTCCTGCTACATCTCTTCTCCAGATCAGAGTCCTCTCCTGCACTCATGCTTCCTCCTGGACCCTGCACCCCCTCCTGCACCCCAAGCCTCCACTTCAAGCTCACTTCTGCACCCAAGCTCCATCCCAGATCCCTTATCTCCTCCACTGATATCATGGTGGTGTGTGGCCCTGGACCACTTACCAAATTCTTGGAGTGCCCTCATCAAAAATTATTGCCCACCCCGACACTAATTGACATGCAGTATGTGTCCTCTTCCCTCAGAAGCAGCTGATGTGTGTGTGTGAAGTAAGCCAGACTGGATCCCATCTGTATATACACCTCAAATATTATTACTGTTTTCAAGTTGTAGCCGTTGTTGGCCAGATGTTCAGCTGGAATTAATTGGCCACTGACACCAATTTACAACATGAGCACAAACTGAGCATGCTCCCAGCAGACACCGTCCTACAGGGTTCTTCGCCCTTTGGTTTTGCTCTTGTTGTAATAGATGGAATCGGGCTCTTCAGCTGCTGGGAAAGAGAGTATTGCACATCCAGCCTCCTGTTGTCTCATGGACACGGGAGCTGCCTTTATGAATTCATAGGCTGCCTTTTGGGCCCTTTCTATAGCCGCTCCTGGAACTGGGGGGCTGTGTCTAGACTGGCAAGGTTTTCCACAAAATCATCTGCTTTTGTGGAAAAACTTGCCAGCTGTCTACACTGGCCACTTGAATTTCCGCAAAAGCACAGATGATCTCATGTAAGATTGTCAGTGCTTTTGTGGAAATACTATGCTGCTCCCGTTCGGGCAAAAGTCTTTTTCCGAAAAACTTTTGCACAAAAGGGCCAGTGTAGACAGCAGAGATTTGTTTTCCGTAAAAAAGCCCCGATCGCGAAAATGGCTATCAGGGCTTTTTTGTGGAAAAGCGTGTCTAGATTGGCCATCGACGCTTTTCCGCAAAAAGTGCGTTTGAGAAGCGCTGCATTTACCATAGGCCTCGAGGCCTGCAGCGGGCACCCTGCAGCCCATCAGGGTTCTCTGTGTGGCCTGTGAGACATTTTATTTACTGCTGTCCATGCACATGGTTGCCGGATTCTGCCGGTTTCCGTCGGTGTCGGGTTTTCCTACCGGTGTTACTAACGTGACACAGGCGTCAAGGAAGGGTGTGTGACGTGAGGCGCATGCTGACAGCACACAGCACTGACTGTGAGATCTGAGCACTCCACAGTTCAGTCAGTACCCCTTGCAAATTCTAGGGACACAAGTGCAGTCAGAAAAACTACCCTAGCCTGGGACACCGGCTTGGTTGCAACAGTCTTGTGGCCCAGCGAGATGAAGGAGGGCCCCTCATGTGGCCCACTCACTAGCCTGGGTTGCGGATCACTGCTCTAGGCATTGCTATTAGGTTGTGGAGGGGAGGGGCTTGCACATTTATAAACGACAGGCCTCAGCCAGCCTAGCTCCATTGGCTTCAAACTGCAGGTGATTCACAGCACCTGAGAATCTGCCTGTAAAAAAGCAAAGTCTTGCAAGAAGGCCCACACCCGCCCTAGGTGGGTTTGCACCGGAAAAGCCAGCATCCCTGGCAGGCATGTGACTCTCAAGCGGCAGCCGCCCTTCCTGCCTCATTGCGTCAACATCTTCTGTATTTGGCACTGACCAAGTCAATGGTGTGTTGCAATATTTACAGTGGGCGGCTGACTGCCTGTCACAGGCACACTAGCTCTCAGCGAGAATGAGGAATTTAGCAAGGGATTAAAACATCAACACCGACCTTTCCTCTGCCGAGTGCTTGTTTACTCGCAAGGTCAGTTCTCTGCCACTGAGCGTTCCGGGATTCTTTCCATTAACGATCTGCCTTCCACACACACTCGCTCCCCAGAGAACTCCATGAGAGAGTCATAGGGTCTCATAATAAAGAGCAGAGGGAGAGAGAAAATGCAAGGTACAGAAGTAAGGGAGAAATTATGGGACAGGTCCTCAGTGGCTGGACATCAGTTGTACTCCCATTCAGAGGGGACATGAGACCAGCAGAGGATCAGACCCACTATGTTATCAGCTAAGGACTTAGTGCCAAATCCTAGCTCTGGCTTGTGTGCCTTGTTTCACCTCTCCATAACTTGCTCCCACCCTGAGACATAGGAGGTGTTCAACCTCAGGCTGGGGATGGGAGGGAGTGGAGCTGGATTGAGTTCTACTCCACTCTCTGGCTGGCAGAACCATCCCCAGGGGGCTGCTCTGAGAGGCGTAACTTAGAGCCTGAGGGTGTGTCTACACTACACCGTTAATTCGGAATAACAGCCGTTAGTTTGAATTAACTTTAATAGTGTCTACACGGGCAAATCGCTATTTCGAAATAAATTCGAAATAGTGGAGCCCTTATCTCGAATTTGGTAAACCTCATTCTACAAGGAGTAACACCAAATAGCTATTTCAAAGTAAGTGCTGAGTAGACACTTAATTCGAAATAGGGGGCCTCCAGCCCTTCCCAGGAAGCCCTGGTGGCCACTCTGGACACAACCAGGAAAACTTACTCTCCTCTTCCCCAGCCCCGGAGACATTAAAGGGGTAGACCCTGGCCACAGTGCCTGTGCCAGCTCCAAGCCTGCCAGCCCAGAGCCAGCAGTGGCCACCGGGGCCCCTGACCCAGCGGCCCCA